TTGTAAACAAAACCAGAGGCAGCTTTGTGGGTGCAGAGAACAAAAAAGTGAAGCCCATTTACTGTAGTTGTGTGAGAAAACTTTTCTATCTGAATGGGATGGAATTTCTGACATACTGGCTGGTACACTTTTGTCAAAAGGAGTCTTTGGTTTTGTCACCTTCAGATGAAAGCAAAAATATTTCTCAGTGGTTCGTTTTTATTCAGTTTATACAGCTTGCAACCCTAATTATTTATCTGCAAGCTTCTGCTTGCACTGAAAGAGTGGCAGAATGTAGTAATAATATCTCTGTTGAAGAAAACAGGACCACAGATTATAGTGTTACTAGTTTTTAGTTATTAGTGCAGAACCATGCTAAGTTGCTGTCATCAATCTTTATGGGGTTTTGCTCAGATCCTATAACAGACATTATTTAAAAAAGTGTATTACTTCATTTCACATTTCTCTGCATGCATAGAGCTAACATTCTTTGCATTGTAACAGAACTTCTTGTTGAGAAAGCTCACGGGTTTGGGGTTTTGTCCTTTATCCTCTTTTGGTTCCCTCATTGTAGCCTGTGATCAGTATGAGATAAGGAAGCCATTTACCAGCAACTCCGTACTGAGTCCAGCATTGATCAATACACTTTCAGATACTTCTCTGAGCTTGCAAGATGATGCTTATCAATCTCTCCTGTTGTGGTATTTATAATCAAGCACTACAGGCAGTCAAAAGTTTACATCTATAATTCACTATGCTCCTCCATTTGTTTATATGGGCTCTTGCTGCAGATTTCTAAAATCTTCCTAACCTTCCTTTAATTAATTTTTAAAAGAACACTTGCCCATCTTTCTTTCCATTCTTAAATTTTCAATATTTTTCATGTCCTTAATGGGCAGGACATTGCAAAGAAAATACACTGGCAAGGCTGCTCTCTGATTCAATCACATGACAATACTTGTGCCATGCCTTGAATCCTATAAAACACATATATACAGATATCATATTTCTTTGTACAGTCTTAAGCTTACACTTGAAGCTTCTGTGTCATTTATTTTCATAACACAGGGATATAGCAAAATGCTGAGAGTTATGAAAATGCTGACACAGAAAACAACTGGAAGGAATTTTGCACATCTATTTCACACATCTTCAAAAACTGTGGTTTTTGTTTTTCACTGCTTTGGCACACACTCAGTAATTAAAAGGGTAATGCTTCCAGGAAGGGTGAGTAAATGGAAACTCCAGCTGCGAAGGAAAAGAAAAAAGAACATATTTGATATTGCTACAGACCATCCAGCAAAAATCACAATGCAATCTGGTAGAGACAGAAGACTTCTGTTTTTTTTCTGAAAAATGTAGCAGGCATTTACCCAATGTCCTTCATTGTTTCTTGAGATTTGGATAGCCAGCCTGAGATAACCTCAAACAAGAACCAAATTGTTCATTAGAACTTTGCATAAAAACTTATTTTATCTTTGCATTATACACTACTGATACAAATAATGGAGCTAGTTTGGCTACGAGGAACTGTAATCTTATCAATCTTGAAGGAATGTTCTCTCTTTTATTTGAAATAAATGAAAACTGCATACAGATGTTAGCAACAGTACCTTCTTTCAAATTAAGGACAAAAGGGATAAATCACTATCTGAACCTCAAGTGCCCCTTGCTGCAAGGTGATGAACACCACCTAAACAATGCTACGCCATCGTCTGTTAAAATTATTGAGAACTGATGCCACTGGAGACTGCATGCTTGGGATGGTGATGCTATTAAAAAGACAATAAAAAATTCAAATTTAAAACAACCTTAAATGCAAAATACAAGTTCTATAAAGTATTTATTATGGCTGTCAAATGCATTGACAAAGAATTATTGTTTATAAAGTATTTCCATAGTGTCTGTAATGAGGTTCTCAGTTATTAATTTGAAACACCATCAGAGCCTTCTTTGGATATTCAAACTAGCTTCAAATTGCTTATGGAGTTTTGCATATGATTTCATCTGAAAACACATAATGACTAAGAAGAAAACTGGCAATGGAGTTACATATTCCATTTCTGGAGTTATATATTCCATTTCTACCCATATGCTACTGCTTGTGTGCCTACAAGTAAATTACTAACCTTTTTGACCTAAAGTATTTATTGAACTTCATCTAATTAATGGTGATGTGAGCATTAGTAAACTTGCACTGCCTCTGGAGAGTCTCAGCCTTTCAGTCTCTGCCTTGCTAAACAAATGTAAAGCACTGCATTCATATTTTCTTCCATAAAATTCTAAAATGTGTGACATACTAAGGTGCTTTATTTTTTTTCCCAGGAGATATCACATGGATTAGTGGAAGTAGGTGTATTCATCTGGGCATAAAAGGTCAAAATACACCCCTTTGCATCCATAACTTTTTAAATTAAGAGCAAGTTGATCCCAGGTATCATCACTGTCAGTAATTCTCTGATAGGTGTATAAATTTTGTGAGGGAAAACATGGAAGTGCAAGTTACAATTTCAGCCGTGTCTGTGCTGATTGTGTTGGACTGCCACAGTGGAGAAATGGGACTGTACTGCTAATGGGGTAGATAAGTCCTTAGCAATTATAGTGATACTCTTCTAAATATCTAAATTATAAATTAAAATTAAATTAAATTCTAAACTATCAATTACCAGTGAAAGCAAACGGGTGCCTTGATGGTATGGAAGAATTCTCTTACAACTGTCGGAAACAAAATCATTAATAACACACAGATCAATTTCTGCTCTTCCTCTTGGCTCAATCATTAATGTCAGAGCAGAGGAGAATTGGGAAAAGGAGGAGCCAATACCTGACACTTGATTTCTAAAAATATAATTAATGTTTTCTTGCAAGTTAAACTAAACAGTAGCATGGCCTGAAGTGCTTAACAGAAGAGACTACATCAAACAAGAAGCAACAACAGGTGCAGAACAAAAGGGGAAAGTCAGAAGAACAAGGACTGGTATGAAGGAAAAGGGGACTGGTTGCAAAGGGTGAAGAGGGACGTTTTGTATTAAAGTACGACATTTTTTAATCCATGAACTTTCAGAAATAAATAATGGCTTAACATTCTATTTAAATGAAATTAAAGCAAAATTATGAAAGACAACTTTTGCTGTTATGGCCAAGAGACCAAACCAGAATCTAAAAATTATTGCTTTGCATAAAAGTGCATTGAGTACTTCCTAAATTACAAGTGCTAAGAAATGAAAAAGCACTTTTGCTAAAGACATGAATTGTCACCCTAGGTTCATTTAAGAAATACCAATAATCTTGAACACTGGCCAGGCTTTTTTCCACTTGTGACATTTCAGTTAAACATTCAGTGGTTTTCATGTTTCAGTTGCATCTAAACAAATCTCCTGGATATATCAATATTTCATTTTGAAATGTAGTAATCTGGTAATGGTTCAACTTGCATTTACTGGGCTATATTTGTAGTCTTAATTTTGGTTTAGCATAAATGTTTTTCAGTCTTTTTATTACACACCTGAGAATGCCCAGCAGACACACTGAGAATCCCAACTCTCTACTGCTGTTTAGTAGAGTCTCCTCCACGTGCAGAAAAATCATCTCAAAGTAGGAGGTAGTTCTTGTGTCTACTTCTCAGTCACCTAAATGAGAGATTAATGGTTGGGAAAGAAGCAAGAAACCAGGTTCTGCATCTTCAGTTTAAAAGTGTTAACTAGCCTGAGATTGTTTAGATTATTTGTAATTGTTATAGTATTAGAATGCCTATCAGCTGACTCTTTTGCTCCTTTCTTGTCAACCTACTTCATTACACATTCTTCCTGAGTGTCTTCCAATGAATTTTCAGGTTTAATCACCATAAGTCAGAAATGAGGCTGATTGCAGATGTTGATTCCCAGCATCCTTGGTGACAGGAATGTGTCTTTCTTGCTGTTAAAGAGTAATTGAATTGAAAGCCTCTGGGAACGGTTAGAACCTGGCGCAGACGCTTGCTGTCCTGAAACCCGTGCTGCCAGGAGGGGGAACCTGCTGCACATCCTTGAGAGAAAGCCAGAAGCACAACTACATGAAGCCACAGCAGACAAAAGTCAAAGGTTCGGTCGCCAGGCCTGCATTTTCTTTTCTTTTGCTTTGATGACATTTCAGACGAGTTACTGACTTCCAACAGAGAACAGATATATGTTCACACAGCTGTCCGGCACAAATAATTAAAAAAATCCGTCAATATTAAAGGCAAGGGGAAGATTAATGAAAGGAGGCTTAAACCTTTCCAAGACCTTGCAAATTACATAAGCTACATGTAGGAGAGTGAAGAGAAGGCTGCTTCTGCTTTGTGCCATCCTTCTGTCAGAGGTTGCTGAGTACCTGTAGCTGAGTAAAGCTCCCTAGCTTTATGATTTGATGATTATTCACCAAAGATTTCAGAAACTTATTTCAAAAATCCCGCTTTTTAACATAATACCGCTGACAGTCTTTAGGCCCATGTGGCTTTGAAGCAGTGCGTGTTTGGGTTTTTTCCCCCGTCTTTTTACATTATAGGGAACCAATGACATTAAAACACAGGGGCACAACCTTGCACCGCTTGTCTGACACCACGGGGCCACTGTAGCACTGGGAACTGCGGATCGCCCTACACGGGTCCTGTGACGCTACGATTCCCATCTGTATTGCTGATGCTCAGCACTGAGCCTCGCCAGGCTGCTGTGGAAACCCAGAGCCCTGGAAGTCCAGTCGGCCTCAGTGAGCAAACAGTCCCCAAACTGGGGCCGCAGCGAGCATTAATACTGTTGCTGTTGCTGTCACCACGCACAAGCGCCCCTGAACAAACTGTAAAGAAGGAGCCGAGCACCTGATGTCCGGGCTGCTTTACGGACAGCGGAGAAGGGACCAGCGTCCTGCCCAGCGGGCTCGCCCCGCGACCGCAGCCGCGATCCCGCCAGGCCATCCCCGCGCTGCCTCCCAGCGCCGGCCCGTGACGCCGCCAGGCGCCGTCGGGAGCATCCCAGTCACCGCCTACATTGCCCGGCAGCCCCGCGGGAAGTGGCGTCCGGCCGCATCCGGGAGTGGGGATCTGCCGGAGCGTGTTCCGTGCCTGGAGTGGCGCTTGCGGTGGGTCGCGGCCGGGCCGGGAGCGGGAGCTCGGGAGGCGGCGGCTGCGGTCGCCCGTGTCCCACAGACTGAGGTGCTTCTCTCCCCGCAGGTGCGGCCATGGCGGACTCCACGCAGAACGGGCCCATGCCAGGCGGGGCCGGCGGCGGGGCCGTGGTAAGGAGCTCCGGGGCCTGGGGGCCCGGGCCGGCCGCGGTGCTGCTCCGGCGGCGGGCGGGGGGTCCTGCGGGGATGGCAGCGAGCGCTGCTCGCCCGGGTGCGGCAGGGACGAGCAGCTTTCGCTTTCCGATTGAAAACGTGCTGTTGGTGTGCCGCCGCTCTTGAAAATGGCTGAATTGGAAGTAATTCAGTGTACTAGCATCTGTATTTCACAGAATCATAGAATATGTTGAGTTTAAAGGCACCCACAAGAATCATCGAGTCCAACTCGTGGCCCTGCACAGGACACCCCAGAAGTCACACTGTGTGCCTGAGAGCATTGTCCAAAGGCTTGTACTCTGTCAGGCTTGGTGCTGTGACCACTTCCCTGAGGAGCCAGTTCCAGTGCCCAACCACCCTCTGGGTGGAAAACCTTTTCCCGATAATCTAACCTAGCCTTGACGCGGCTTCATGCCATTTCTGTAGTTATATTGTGCAAGTAAGATACGAAATTATATTATGAAGACGCTTGTAGGTTTCTGGTCATTTCCATAGACATACACTAGAAATGCATGTCATCTTGAAAAGATGACACTTCAAAAGCTGGTCCAAATTTGGAGAAAAATTGAAACTCTATCAGAAGGAAGGAAGCTGTTGTTTTGACTCTGATGCACATATAGCCAAAAACATTCTGTGTTTCATTAGAGCCTTTAGGGCACTTTGGCTATATCAGGACTGAGGAGGGCAGTGGTTAGGGAAGAGGTGCAGGATTACTGTGAAAAGTTTTCTGCTTTTTGAAGGCCAGGAACATGTAAGCCAAAATGATGCCGCTTTCCTTGTAATGTGGTTATGCTAACTTTACCTAACCCTATATTTTTCCTCCTTCAATTGGAAGAATTGTGGAGATTTAGCCCTAGGTTTGTGCATTGAATTCTAAAAGAAACCTTGAAGCAAAAGTCCGTCAGGTCTAGAGACCCTAATTATAACATTTGTGAAGCTGTTTAGTGAGGTGTATTTGGATAGAAAAACTTTTTCTAGAAGTTCTTACCGCTGTATTTGATTGCAATGTACAAAGGAGCCTCTTGGTTCTGAGGAAGCTGAGCTATTTTTGATCTGGCTAGTAACATCATATGAGCCAAGTATCACAGAACAAAAAAAAAATTTCTGCTTCAAGCTATAATTTGCTTACATTTGAGGTTGGGGAAAGATTTGAAATTTAATAGAGTTGGGAAGAATGTTCATTGTATGCAAGTATTAAGATACCAACTTCTGGTGGGGCTGGGTTTTTTTTCTTCTTTTATTTTTTTTCCACTGTAGCAATTTCTGATGGCTAACAAGTTGGATACAGCAATGTGGATTTCCCGCTTGTTCACAGTTTACTGCTCCGCTTTATTTGTCCTGCCTCTTCTAGGGTATGTACTGTAACATAAATATAAATGTTGTATGCTGAAATATAAATATTTACAAACAATCTAGGTTCTCTTTGCACAGAATTGTTTTTTTCATGTAAGGTAAATTGCTTTTTTTCAGGTTACTTAGATGCTTTTTGTCATAATAGCTTACAGATTTTAAATTGGTTTAAAACACTTGTAGATGTGTTTGGAAAATTTATTGAAAAAATGTAAAGTAGTGGTAAATGCATGTTTTTGTTTGTAAATGGAGTATTACATTGAGTTGTCTTAGGCACCTGCAGTAAAGTCAGTGTTAAACAGCTTTTGAGTTATTTTCTGGAAATAGTGCTTATGTACAATAATATAAATAAATACTTCAGGTATTGTTCAGTTGTGATGCAATTCTCAAAGGTAGAAGACTTCTGAGCTTGGTTCGCATGGTAACATCTCCTCTGATGATTTGCAGGTTGCATGAAGCAGCAAGCTTTTACCAGCGTGCCTTGCTGGCAAATGCTCTTACCAGTGCCCTCCGACTACACCAAAGGCTACCGCACTTCCAGCTTAGCAGGGCATTTCTGGCTCAGGCTTTGCTGGAGGACAGCTGCCATTACCTGTTGTACTCCCTTATCTTTGTCAATTCCTACCCTGTTACAAGTATCCTTTTCTTGTGTCATCCTGCTAATGTTTTTAAATATATTAAAAACATGATTCTTTTCATCACCTTTGCCATGATTTGAAAAGCTAGTTGAACTAGTTTGATATGTTTGCTATTCATAGAACATACTCTATGTAAAATATGAGAGGCTTATGTTGATTGATACATATTCAGTTTAATCAGCTCTATAATTAGAGCACTGCATTTTCTGGCTACTTAGATTTTCTTTTTTTGAGGCTTAAGTTTAGTAGATTTTATGACCAGCCTCCAGTGATATTTGGAGGAGATGGTAATTTTCATTTATTGCCAGTGCAGGGTTTATACATGTCTTCTCACTGTAGTAGACATTCATCCTGTAGAGAGACAATTATTCAGTAGTAACTGTCTCACATAAGTTATTCAACTGATAAAGTCTGCAAAATTTGCTCCTGTGGATTGTCAAAGGTGACATGTCAGAGCTGACATTTCCTTATGCCACACGATGTACACTTAATTTAGTCCTACTCTTTAAATCCTTCTGGCAGAGAAATGTCTACATTCTTGCTCTGTAAAATCAGAATGGCTGGCAGTTGCATGTTCTTTGGTAAAGAAATTAATTTTGTAGCATATTCTAAGGAAAACTACGACTACGCATATTTCAGAGGTTTTGAGTAGTAAGCTCAGGTGTGCCTTCTGTGCAGAGAGAATGCATTTCAGTAGAAGCATACTGGTGTCTAATGGTGTGTGTTATACTTCTGCATACTTGCAGACACAAGACAGACTTTAATTTGAAGCTAATAAAAGTGCATAGCAAAGAGGTGTAAGAAGCAGAAGGAAGAGCTGTAAATATAGGTCTTAGATGTCTGCATATCTTCATCCAGTAAAGGTCATTCCAGCCAAACTTGCAAAGATCCATCGAGCTATCACTGGTGTAGTATAACATCATGGAGAAATAAAGCACATGCACACCCTGTAATTTTCCTTATGGCTTGCTTCAGTGAGTATTTTTCCAGTTCTGCTGTTCTCTTTGCTTCATGCTGCCACATACACAAAGAAGGTTCTTGATGTAAGTATGATATGTATATGTTACAATGAATACAGTTAGTATTCTTGGGATTTATAAACAGGTTTGAGTTGCAGCTCTGGTTTGATTTTCTTTGGCTGCATTAGAGGAATTAGAGTGAAACTGTAATACAGAATCTCAGCTAATTAATTTTCTCACTAATTATTTTTCTTCAAATGCTTTTCTTTGAAGGAAACAAAATCTTTGAAACAATTAAGTTGAAACTTAAGACTTGTCTTTTTCAAGCTAAACCACAGCGTCTGAATTTTACAGTTCTATTTCAGTAATAAAGTAACAAACTACGGGGTGAGACTAGCAAGCAAAATACTTGCCAGTTGGACTTGCTGCTAAGTGCACTGCCTTGTGCATCTTAACGTAACTCCAGGCTTTGGTGTTCCTAACTGGGCTCTTGCTACCATGGCCACTTCCTCCTAGTGGACTGAACAAGGCTCGTGGCTGTCTCTGTGCAGTTGAACCTAAAATTGGTGGGTGAGGGAATTGCAAAATCTGATGCTTTTAGTTGAACTCTGTAAATTATGGAGTTCCAAGCCTGCAGTTTTCCTTAGGATATTAATCTCAAAACTGATAAAGTCTTAAAATGTTGAAATGGGTGATAAATAGCAATTGTTTGCATTTTGTTTTCTCTGTACTAATGGAGATGGATGTAACTTTTATGTTTTCTGTAAATAGTTTTTTCTTCTTTTAAGGCACGAAGTTCAAATAGTTTGCCTTTTTTGAGAAATCTCTTAGAGAAACTGAATGCTAATCAACAGAATATTCTAAAATTCATTGCTTGCAATGAAATTTTCCTGATGCCAGCTACAGTTTTTATGCTCTTCAGGTAAGAATAATAATAAATATTTAAATAATTAGAAACTTGCTACACAAGACTGCTTTTTGCAAATGAGTTCTCTGTGGCTCATAGTACTCCATTTGTGTGGCTCAGGCTGACAGGCTTGAACTTCAAATAAAATTTAAGTGATTCTTAGGCTTCTTAAGTTGGTGCATCCTGACATCAAAAGGCATTCACTATGATGTAACTGAGCACCAAAAACCCTTCCCTTTGATAGTGTGGGTGATGAGTCACATGGGAGTTTTTCAGGCTTGACACTTGAATTCGCCTACATTTCTATCAGCACATTGTTCAGTAAGTTTAATTTTGGTTTGTTTAGTAGAATATTAAGATCTTCAGCTTCACTGAAAGTGAACTATTATTTTTGACAATTAGATTCCTGAAATTTAAATGGAAAAATTTCATTATGCAAAAAGTGTGCAGGCAGGAGTAGGTTGCATTCTCTCCTGTGCCCCTTCTGAGCAGTGACCCTTCTGTTTTTTTTTTTTTTTTATTCCATTTGATTTTGCTTGCTGTGTTGCCTGTTGAAGTCATTTTAGGGATCTCGAACATGTTGGAATCCTACTGAAGTTGTGCAGGCATAATGACCTGCCAGTCACAGAAGTTTGGGTCATTGCCTTTTAATATTTGGAGGGGGATTGCAGCCTTTGTTCTATACAAGTTATAGCAAAGTGGGAACATTTGTCTTGAGTGGTCTCATAAGCAGTAGAAGGGAGGCTTTACTTTCTTGGATATGTTGCATAATTTGTCTTATATTTTGATATATCAGCTGAACATTTCAATGCTTCAGCCCTCAAGGATTGCATTCCATCTGAGACCACTTACCAGCTGACAGATACACTCTATCCAGTATTTGAAACTTTCAAGTGCTTTGAACTTAGTACAGCTTTTTTATTTCCTTTTGCCTCTCTGTGGAGAATGTAGTATGTGAAATATTGCTGCTTGATATGTCATCTGGTAGATACTGAAGTGTTTGTAAAAGGTCATATGCTAAATTTTAAAATAATTGAATTGCTAAATGCAGCTATTGTGAGATTTTGTTCTTTAAATGTTGTAGCGTATAACTTGTTTGTCAATACTGTACAGGTTTCAAGATTTCCTCTTTCTTCCCTCATGTAGCTCACTTTCAGTTTATATTTTTCTTCTGCCTAGAGATGGTGCTAATACTTGAAGGAGTTCTTACTGGAACTTACTTATCATGATGTTTAAATTCAAACACAATTTTTCAATAATATGCTATTTAAAGTGGCTTCAGTCACTAAAATTAGAGCATTTCTGTGCTTCACTGTGTATGATCTGTGTGTTATGTTTCCACTATTTCACAGCACAGCCATGTCAAACAGCAGTTTTGTGAAATACCAAAGCCTAATTTCACTGTAACTGGGTATTAGCTTGGCATTAAAGTCTCATTATACATCTGTAATTGTCTACAGTGTGTTCTGAGAAGTTATACAAAAAATGCTAGAAATATGGTCCAGATATTCAAAGTGCTGCAATTAGATTGAACAGGGTCACTGTAACTGGACTGCTTATGTCAGCCAGTTTCTGGGCTTACCAGCAAGTGTTTTCTTGCTATGGAACACGTGTCCACCTCAGAAATGAGGCATATGAAAACACTTCATAAATATAAAATCAATACAAGAACAGCACTTCTTTAACTGCTTCATTGAGCAGTTTTATTCTATAATGTTTCTGCATTTCTAAGTGTATAGTTATGTACTTTTGCTTGTCAGATCTATATTTTCTGATCCAATGTGACCCAAATCTTGTTTTGAGCCTAAGTAGTTCGCTTGCCTTTCTTAAAAAATTTTTTCTTAAAAATTCCTGGTTTTGGTGTTCCGTTTTGGTTTTTTGTTTGTCACTAGTAAGCTCTACTGAACTCCTCTCTTTCAGTGGACAAGGGAGTCTGCTGCAGCCATTCATTTACTATAGGTTTCTTACATTACGCTACTCTTCTCGGCGAAATCCGTACTGTCGGTAAGTGCTAAATTGATTTTGGGAGTTCGTGTTTAACTGCATAGTGCTGAGGCATTCAGAAACTTCTCATTCTAAAATGAATGCAGAACTCCTAATACTACATCTGCAAGTGGCAACTGTAGAATGTGAAATACACCTGGATACTAAATAAAAGCCTGGCTGGTTAAAGGTTAGATTTACTGAATGTAAGTGATCAGAAAAGTACCACCATTCTTGAATGGGAGCTTTCAGAACATGCTTGTGTAATTAAACTACACTTTGTGAATAGAAAGTCTTTCTTATCAGAGAGATACCTTTATTTTTAGATTCTAGGTATATCTGAGGCTAAGCCCAAATATGAATAGCCACTTAAAAACTTGTGTAATATTAAGAGAAAAAAAGGATGTGGATGATGTTAAACATGTTCATTACCTTTTTTAGTTAAATTCATAAGTAAAGCTAATTGTATTTGAAATAGAACCTTACTGATTTTGAAAGTCGGTCAAGCCAATATTATTGCTTTAGATTCTGAAATCATAAATATTCCTGTGAGTGTTGTCTTAGGTGAGTGCTTTTTAGAAGTTTTCTTATGAGCATTGCATAGCATAAGATTTTATGAACAGACTTTCCAGTCTACTTGATCAGAAAGTGGCTTGCTAGAGTGCCAAGAAAGTGGCTTTGGCTGCCACGATATGCAAAGACAGGTGTGAGAATCATAAGCTTAATTGCCTTCTATTCCCTATTTTTGTTGGAAATCATTTGTTCCATCCTGCTACATAAATTTGTTTTTAACAACACCAACAACATCTATGAAACTGCTTTACTACTTTGGTATCTAAAAATAATTTAAGCTGTACATACTAAAATTGACATTCAGTAGAACTAGTTTATCCAAAATGTTCTGCTGGCATTTTTGTAGTTTTAAGGAAAATTTTTGACAATGATTTTATCTCTCATGTCTGTCTTCTAATAGTTGCTTCTGCAGTGCAGGGTTCTTGCATATTGCCAAGAAGTAGCACAAACACAATATCCTCCCAGCTCCTTACACTATTTGTGATAAAGCATTATTCCTTTTTCTATTTTTTATAGTGCTTGTGTAGCCTTTATAGTATTTTTTTTCCTTTTGTATTTTTTTGCTTGAAGGTGGAGTTTTTCTGCTGTCTCTAGCTCAGTAACTTCCAGCTGAGTATAGAGTTAGTTAAAATGTTAATGTTTAAAAGTCAAGAATTCTGAAGCTCTTGGAAGCAGTACTGAGTTGGTCTAAAGAATTTAACTTAAAATGTGTATGTGAGTGTGATATTGAGAAAAGAAGTTAATGAAAAAGATATATGTGGCTAATACTTCTGATAAAAGCTGTAGGATTTTAAAACTGTCTTTAAATCTGATTTTTCAGGACTCTCTTCACTGAGCTCAGGATTGTTGTTGAACACTTAATAACGAAGCCCTCGTGCCCTGTTTTTGTAAGAAGACTATGCCTCAGTGGCATTTCCTTTATAAGCAGATTGGCACCAACTGTTGCATAGCCAAATTCAGGCACTCGTGTTTTGGGAACATTATGAGCAGCTGGCACTTCTGCTGATGATTGGAAATTCCTGGTTTTACACTGATTTCACTCCAGGCTGTATAAAAATACATAAATGCTTTTCTCGGAGATAATGTGAAATTTAGCATATCAAAAAAAAAAAATAGAAACTTAAATTAACTGTGCTGTATTGTTAATTGATGAAAAAAAGTAGCTGCATCCTATCTAAAACATGCCCTATCATACAAGTTTGTTGTTTGTTTTGTTTTTCTAAATCAATGATTGTTTGAGATTGATTGAAAGTTATTATAAGAGATCTGTGCTCTCTAGGTTTATGTTAGTTGGAATTCTAGCTACTTTAGGATGTCTCCAGTGGATAGCAGTTGATACATATACCTATGCAGTACACTTTGGACAGTATTCTTCTGCTTACTAAATGTATTTGTAGAACTATTTTGTCCAATTTGCTATACTCAGTGTGGAAATATGGCTCACTTTGAAGTTAACACAAGGGATTAAAATCTATCAAGCTGACAGAGATAACACTCCTTTCTGAAGGAGAGGCTATTTTTATTAATAATACTTTAAAAGAACTCTCCCATGTTTCTACCTTGTGACATAATCTTACATTATGCTGTTGGAAGAAATACCAAGACTGATCACAGAAAACTGTGCAGTTTTCTTGTCATAACAAGTTGTTTTACCAAGCCAAACTGCTGACCTGTAGATTTAAGACTAAGAGGCAATGCTTAAACTTTTAACCATGTCTCAAATGAACTAATCAATGTTAATGAAGTAACTTTTGCAGAGTCATTGCAGATTTGTTCTCGTGTCCACACAAATGTGAGACTGCAGTAATTCAAGCATGTTAGCTTTTTAGAAAATTAATCTGTAGGTAGCTCTGTATAAATTGTTATTTGAGTTTCTGAGACCCTCATTGTGATGAGAAATTTGCATAAAGAATTGCACCTGTTTAGGCAGCTTCTGAAACATATGGGTGTAGGATTTCTTGGCATAAATCCATCTGATGACTGATCTGAAGCCAGTGTCATGACTACAAAAGTGAATATTAAATTAAGTGTATAAATTAATTACACTGGTTATGCATTCACCCAGCAGCTGAAGGGTAGGTCATGGAAAAATAAAAATAATACTGTCTGAACACAACTTCTTTCCAGAAATTCAAGGCAAAATATTTGCTGAATTTTCTGTAGTTAGTGTTAGTATTCTAATTGCATAAAGTTAAAGGGCTTTCATTGGCCTTTTGTAAAATTCTGTAGTACTCAACTATTCTTCCATGATCAGAGAAACCTTATGAGAAAACAGTTTCAAAAACAGTCTTGAAGCAAAGTATTTTCCTATAACTATTGAGTTATCTTGTTTGTGATATGGATATCATTACGACTTTCCAGTTGTATTAGTTTTTAGATCAGAGCCATGTATTTATAAACTTATTTCATTTTTTTTGCTCAACCTCTTGGTACTGATGAAGCAGTTGGTAATTGAATATGATATTCTTTGACTACTTGTCTTGCTCTCTGAACGTGATTAGCTATTTATAGAATACTCACACACTGCAGAAGCAACTGCATGCAGTTAATGCTCTACAGCTACTAAAGACTTGCAATGAGATTGATTATGTGTATATTCTGTAATTTGAGGATTTGATAAAAACTAAAATTTCTACTGCAATAAAAGGAGTGTTAAATGTAACTCGCTAAGCTCTTCAGGCTCATTTTCTCTCTTTAACACAACTTACTGATGCTTGAACCTGGAAGTTGAGCAGAATGCTGTCCTGTGTGTACGTGTGCATGTTCTTATATTCCCACTGCTGCTTCTGAATTGGAATATAATGTCTTGTGCATTTCTAAATTATTTTTTGCCTTCTAAAGTGCAAAAATTGATCACCTTTTCTTCAAAATCTAGCTCAAGTATAAGCACTGCAACAATGGTATCTAATCAGAGAAAAATCCAGACCTACTTGTTACTGTTTCAGTTCCTCAGCACGATTCTAGACTCTCTGTCATGTTGCATGATGTGTTTTTTGAATGGTGACATCAGATTCTCTTCAGCTGTTAGCACCACTGTGATGTAAAAATTAATTTGGTCATCTAAGTTGATCCCCCATACTGGGAGTGGAAGGTAAATAAATCTGTAATTACAGTAAGCAAAATAACATGTTACTTCTGAGCAAATTTTTGTGGTCTGACTGCTGTTATGGCTGCATTCTACTGTTCCCTAATTGTATGATGGTACTAAATTAGAGAGGAGTCTAAACTGGATCCAGTGTAATGCAGCTGTAACTGAAGGATGCTAAGTAGAGATCCAACTCAATGCATGCAGGAGAAGGCTTAAAAAGGAGTAAGTGAATGACAATGCTGTGAGTAAAGAGCTGGAAGACAGTGCTGTGAAATAGATGTGAAACTGCATTTATCTCTTTCTACTAAGTCTTGAAAATGGACGAAGAGAAGTAAATTCCATAAAAGGGATTTGATTTGGTTTTGCTAGTAGCATATTCTTGGCTTTGCTTGACAAAAGAGCAGCTTGTGGCCTGGTAAAACTTATTTCTCTGATGTGTCAAGAAAACATGGAACAATGTTGTAAGAATAACGTTCAAGCCAAATAAATAGAGCAATTGACCTGTGCTCTGCATCAACTTCGATTTTTACTGTAGCCTTTCAGCTGCCTGAGTGATAACATCAACTTTCCTCAGTGCTGGCAAAGACATTCTATCCTTGAGCCTGCCTCTTCACCACATTTTTTGACTGTTTCTATTCTAATGATTAAACTAAATGTAAAATAAATGTAGTATCCTGATAGCTTGAGGGGGTTTTTTGGTGAATAGAGCTGTATGTTCATGCTGCTATGCTGTCAACAGCTAACTGTGATGCAGAGGCTGTGACAGAAGTCTGTGATTGTAGAGAAATTTTGCAACTGACCATAAAGTGCCTGCCAATCCCAAAATGAAGCAGAAGAGATTTTGTATTACTGAAAGGTTTCCTACCTAATGTGATAACTGCTTCCACTGGCATAAATCATACTGCTCATTGCTTTTTGTTGTCTCACCTTTTGTAAGTTAAGTGCTGTTGCACAGATTCTGTGGGTAGACCAAACCCTTGCTCTGTACAAGCATTCTGTGGAAATGATGTTCCAGCTTAACACTTGTTGTTTTCATCTGTAGATAAAGTATCAGGAGCCATTGGGTCTGTTGGAATAGCTAATGCCAGTTAGGATTTCTTACACGCAAAGTAACTCACCAATACATCCATCCTCTCGTTTATTGCATTTTATTTGATTTTATACATATATTGTCATTTCTGTGCTGTCAGTTTTATGTTTTTCCTCCTTTCTTTGATGGGTGTTTAAGTGGAGCAATATCTGTTCATGTTGTAAGGATTTAAATAAAAATGAATTATAATTATGAGCCACTATTTCTTCCAGCAGTTTTGGAGCTGTTAACTATGTATGTGATTGTATTGTCCAAACAAATAACATAGCCAGTTATTTTGTACAGTCTGTGTTAGACCCTTTTATCGTTAGGTACCTGTATTGCAACATTTGCTGTACAGGTGCCATGTTTATTAAGGAAGTTCTTACCCATTTTAAAGACAGGAATGGAGACATGGAAGGAAAGAGCACTTACCTGATGTAAGAGTTCTGGCAGAGCAGGAAATAGAAAAAAGTTGGACAAGTGCCCAGATGAAACTAATTTGTTTCTGCTCGACATATAACTTATTAGTCCTGCTCCTAAAATTATTGTAACTGTGGTCTTAAATACTTCAAAAAGTACTGTACCTTACATTGCTCAGATAAAAAGTGCTGTACTTTACAGTGCTCAGATTAAGGGTAAAGAAGATAGTGCGCTAAAACGACATATTCTTTTAAAGTCAAAACTGATTTTCACGTGCAATGCTAGGTGTGCCCCTTGTATCACCATCTCTGACAAAAAATAATGCAACAGAGTAAGATCCCAAGCCCTTAACATGCTAGATGGTAGTAGGGTACACTAAGCTGTTTTAATTGTCTATAATTTTTAATTGCTGTGGTACACCTATTTGTGATTAAACTATATATACACTGAAATTGGTTAGTGTATAACTTCTGTATTTTTTTTAAAGTCACAGGAACAGTCAGGCCTTGCTGTTTTAAATCACCTTTAAAGGACAGAACCTTAAGCAATTCTTTATTCCAAAGACGGAAAGATATCAGTATGGATAGTGTAACCGAATTTAATCTTGAATGTGGATTCAAAGATCTTTTTCACAAAATCTCAGCATTACTTTTTAATTCCTCTGTAGAAGCTAGCTCTGTGATAATGGCAGATGTTGTGCAGGTAAGGGAGTTTCATTGCTTAGTTCTATGCCATCCAGATGGTATAAACTTTTAAAATTAATTGAAAAATTCATCTTTTACTTGTATTCAAGGACTGAGGCACAAAATGCTAATGTAAGGGCTCAGAGGGGAAATATAGTTCTCCTGCATATTTGAGAAAATGTGAAGCCCTTTCAAGAAAATCTAATAAACATAATAATCGCAGGCTGCTGACACTAAGGAAAAAGCACCTCATTCGCTCTTTCTTTTATGCAGCGATTTACCGGTCCCTACTGATTTTCAAATTGGATCACTGCAGTAAATTATCCATACCAGTACCTGTGAAAGAAAGCACTGGGATCCATATTTGTTCAGTGCTGTGCTTAAATCAGCAAGAATGATAAATTTGATGGTATGAAATTGGAAATACCAAGGGCTTCTCTCAGTGAATGAGCAAGTAGTTCCATTTGTAATTTATTGTGACCCTTTTTCACTGTATGTGCTTTGTATGTCAAATATTTATTTTGAAACAAATTAAATGGTTTTCTGTATTGATACCTATTGTTTTGTTGATATTCTTGAAATCAAATTCTGTATTTCTTCTGGATTTTAAATATTACCAGTTTGTGTTGCAAAACAGCACTTATTTAAGTTCAGATCTCTGAGTGAGTTTGAGTTACTGACCAACAGCTTTGTGTTAAGTGTTCCAGGTGCATGTTGGGTGTTGTTTTTTTGTGTATGTGTTTGGAATAGTGCAGAATGCAGTGAGCTACTGCAACACCTCATTTACTTTTTCTAGAGAAACAGGAAGATTAGGGTATATATCAAAACAAAAAAGAGCTGATCCCTGCCTTTAATTTATTGTAACTATTCTGCTTTATATCTGGCATAGATAGTACCAAGTCCTGTGGAAAAAAATTCTATCTATGTGCCCAGTCTACTGCTATGTTTTCAGTGCAGGTGTTAGCAGAGAAAGTTGTATACCTGTGATTTGGCGTGAGGAAACTGCTTTCCTGGAGCAAGTGCAGGTCATGATATTTTCATTTGCTATATGTGTCCCTATGAGTAACTCGTGTTACTTTGCCAGTATTAAAAGCAGTGTTAAAAGTAATTTAGATGAAGATGATGCATCAGTTCAGATATTTCACAGGAAAATGAAACTGAAAATCAGAAATTGTAAAACATGCAGGACTAGATTATCTGTAGGATTTAAAGCAGTATCTACTATAGTTTTCATGAAGATAGAAGAATGGGGAGAAAAATAATGAGAACACAGAAAATCACAGAATCATAGAATATACTGAATTGGAAGGGACCAGTCAGGATCAGGAAGTCCAACTCCTGACCCTACGCAGGACACTCCAAGACCCACACCAGTTCTCTGATATAAAGATGTCTGGAAGTCCTGCTGGATGCTCTGTTGCTTTCACAAACCCCATTTCACCAGTCATGGTTTCATGCCATCAGTATCCTCTGAATAGTACTTAAATTTTCAAGCTAAATTTTCAAGTAAATTATGTATATTTTATTCTCCATTAAAATACAGTTGAAATAGCCATACTGTACAGGAGCTGACAGTCTAATCTTGATTTACCTAAAATGGAAAACAGCTGCAGTGAACTATGTTTTCTTCTCTTACTATTTTTGGAAGTTCTGCAGTGAAAAAGTAAAGAAAGAAATAATCTGGGCTTCTTGGCTTTTTTTTTTTTTTTTTTTTTTTGGCTTTTCCATGTTGCTTTGCTATATTTTTTTCTTGGCAATCTGGGGGAAGACCTTGTATGTGCAACTCATGAGGTTTTGTCCTGATGTATGTTTGCATAGAACACAATATAACTTAGTATTGTTATAACATGATGTAACTTAGTATTTTAATATTTTTGGATTTATTTTTTTTAATCTAGAAATTCTGACCAAACAGATGTCTCCACACTACGATCCCTTTCAACTTACTTTCTGCTGTAACAACTTCAGTTAGGTTCTGACTAAAGCAGAAGAAAAATAATTGTGAATCCTTTCAGTAATAAAGTTTAAATCAAAGCCATGGATCAAAGCCATTACATCTATCATTGTAATGGTAGATGGAAATCTGAGGTTGACTTTCTGAATTTTCATATGTCTAGTGGCATTTTCATTTGTGTAACTGTGTAATACAGAGAAATATTGAAGCCTTAGAAAACTACAGGTACAGCAACAAGCATCGAGTTCAGAATGTGTTTGTGCATCCAATGGCTGTATTCACATTTCTAATTATCTCAAATTTTTTAACATCACTCTGGGGCAGAGGTAAGATGTTCAGTTGCATTAATATGTATGTACTGTGACTGGATGATGTATATATATTTACAGCAGTAGATAAATGACTAAATAAAATGTAGTACTTTGGAGGTTTTTTCCCCTTTTTGGAAATGGTAATACACTTTGCACTTCATGATGAAACAGCCTCTTCCTGTCCTCTGGTGTCCTTCTCTCTTTGCAGAGTGCTACACATTTGCAAAGGAAATAGATGTTTAAGAAGATTGTTGCACTGCAAGGTGTTTCTAATATACTGCCTTTATGCACTTCAAAAGTACTAATTGAGTTTATTTCACATTCTTGTAATTCTTTTTCCTTTTTCCTTACGAGCCAAAGAATCAAGCTGCTATTAAGCTGGTCCTTGCTTCGTTCATGCAAGAAATTATAGGACAAGGAGCAAGACACTGGAACTGATTAAAGAAGCTTCCTTCAGTCCTGTGTTCTTATGCATGTCTGTATATTACTGTAGAGAATAAGTAGTTGTTTCAGTATTTTGTGTTATGTACCTAGTATTGTTTTTAAGAATTTTAAGCTAGCTTTCTTGCTTTTGGATGAAGGTAAGTGCTGCAAGCCTTAAGAGTTATTTTTCCTTGCTCAGAGGCTGGAAATTTTATTTGATTGTATGATTTATCTATTTGAAATGAAATTGAATTCTTCCTCTATGTGCTAATTTTATTCCAAACCACTGACCTCTAGTGGCTGGTTTGCAACTATGAAGCTAAAAATTTTAGTAATGTAATATGCTCTTCCTGAGTCTCTTGGCTACAGGAAAGTAATTTTCAGTTTAAATTTCTCAGAAGAATAATACCTCTTCACGATTTACTGTCCTTTGGCACTTACTAGCTGCTGCTGGGTTTGAACCAGCTTGTTGAGGACTGTTTCCCCCAGTTTAAGAAGCTGCAGATGACTGCTGATGTTAAGGTGAATGAACTGCATGTGAATAACTGAAAACACTTCTCCATGTGCTGGAAATGAAAATATTTACTTCTCGTTTTTGTAGATCTTTGACCCAATGACCATGAAACAGCTTTACAGAGCTGCATGACTCAGAGTGCTGTTATGCAAGCTTCTGAAGATGCACCATTCTGTGCTTCAGAAGAGGCATTCCGCTCGTGCACCTGCCTGTCATAAAATATTGTCTCATTTTCTGTGAATTTAAATGGTTTGCCTGAAAATCTTAAAGGCTGTTTGGGAACACTGGACATTATGTATTCACAGGTTTTTTTGTACTATTGGTAGCTGCTTTGTGTTAACTGTATATATAAAAGGTACAAAAATCAAAAGTCTTTCCCTTTTCCCTTCTTTTCCTTTCTGTGGTGTATGAGAGACCCACAAGGCAGGATATCTGAATTCTGAAGAGTAATTTAAACTATATTAAGTCAATACCTTCAGCTCTTCCAGTGGATCTGGGGACATTGCAAGTCTCTCTCCACTCTATGAACTTGCAATATTTAATGAATTTCAGAATAGAAAGATACTCAAATTTACTTTCTATTACTTCATTTTTCATACAAGGAACACTAAATATCCTTCATTTCTTATTAGCCCTTACATATCACCTATTTCTTGCTAGATAGTAATACTAGAATTTTTATCATGGTGGACTTGAGTAATACAATCAGTTACTGAGTTATTTTAAATAAACAGGGATAAGAAAAAAAGTTTTTAAAGACCTGTATTTCAACCCAGTCACCTGTCTTCCCTGGTGTGCAACCAGTTCTATGTAAACTTTTCAAGTGTCTCCATAAAACAGGTTGTAAACCTTAAAAGGTTGTAACCATAGTCCCTGTTCTTCCTGAAGACCTGGTAAGGCAACTTAACCCTATAATTTTTTGTAGGCAAGGTAATATGCTGTATAAAAAAGGGCTCTAGAGTTTTTGCAAAAGGAGGCCTGAGGAAATGATTGATAG